TTTTTTTTCTCATGCTTGCCGCCTCCCCCTGAAGCTCTCTGGCGCCCCCCCAGGGAGGCGCGCCTCACACTTTGAAAAACCGCTGCCATAGACTGTATATATAAACAGACACGTTAAATGAATCGATCAGGCGTCGTGAACGGAATACTTTTTTGAAAATGCATACGTGTGTAAACGCAAACGTTCCCGTGTAAAGGCACCCAAAGACGGTCGGCCAAGCCTCATACTACCACCTGAGGAACATCTCCAAAATGCGACACTCCCTCACCAAACCGGATGCAGAAAAAACTGCTCCATGCATTCATCACCTCCCGCATTGACTACTGCAATTCTCTGCTTACAGGCATTCCAGCAAAAAACACTCAGAGACTACAATATGTACAAAAACTGTGGCCGCCCAGATACTCAGAAAAAACACGCAAATCAGAGCACATCACCCCCATCCTTCACTCACTCCACTGGCTCCCTGTAACCCACCGGATCAACTACAAAGTCCTCATAATGGTCTTCAACGCCATCAACCACACTGGCCCCACCTACCTACAGGAACTGCTAACCAGAAAACATTCCCATACCTCACGCCAGTGGCGGCGCCAGGGTATTTTTGTTGGGGTAATCTATGGTAGGGCTAACCCATACAGTGGTGGTGCTCAAGTCAGTATTTGCAATTTAATTACATACACGCTATATCGCACCCCTTGAAACAGTGAAATGCCACACGTGAGGTTTAGATTATTTCCCTTTCTCAATCAAAATGGAACTGTATGAAATAAAACGGCACATTTGTCTTATAGTAAATAAAAAGGGATCACTGTGAACGGACGTATGATATGAATGGCGGTTCCGATTGATCTCAATCAGTAATGCATGACGCAGACCCAACGTTTCGTTGCTCTGATTGGCTGTAGGTCTATTCAAATTGCATTCGGAGGCATTTTGATCTGACCGCGGCCGCGCTGATATTATAACGCCAGAGAATTTCCACACCTTTAGTGTATAAAACTCCCCCACTACTTAGACTATTCCTTGCACCCCTCTTCTATAAGCCCGAATGGTCTCAACCATATTGCATCAGTAACGTGCACTTGTTGTTACAGCAGGATCAGTTTGTGTGTTGTGGACACGACCCGTATTTTCGCAATCCGTGTTCTCAACATTTTGCATTTAGCTTATTATTTAATTGAATTTGCTTACTTTAACATCACTTTTCATGGTGGGGCTAAGGTGGGGCTAAGCCATTTCTTGGTATGGCTGTAGCCTACCCCAGCCATACCCTGGCGCCGCCACTGCCTCACGCATACTCAGGTCAGACAGCTCCAATCTCCTGGCTGTTCCGTGGACAAAACTGGTCACCATGGGAAACCGTGCTTTCTCCTCCCTGGGTCCACGTCTGTGGAATCAGCTTCCAGAGAACATACGGACCTCGGCATCACTCTCAGTTTTTAGGAAATGCCTCAAGACCCACCTGTTCCACACCGCATTTTACTGACCGTCCTTTATTTTAATTTATTTATTTAATTTTTTTAACCTTTATGCTCTTAACCTTTGATTTGTATTTGTTATATTACCATATTTTATTCAATATGCTCCTTTAGATATCTTTTTATTTTATTATTTTCTCCTTATAGCTTTGTGAAGCACCTTGAGATGACGTTCTCTTTAAAGTGTGCTATATAAATCAAATGTATTGAGCTGTGACATGGAGAAGAGTGATGGACAGCTGGAGATCTCACCTATGAGCTTTGGTCTGGCTGTTATGTTCCCCAGAGCTTTTAGAGGGGGGGGGCTTCCTCCTCTCTGTCCTCACACTGATCCATAGCAGAGCCCCCACCTTCACACAAACACAACAACATGCTCATTCATTACCACAAGCTTTACATCACAGGTAGTGCTCCTCCTCTCAGATATTCAGGAACCTTGTTGGAGCCTCAACAGGACCGGACCAGCCCAGAATGTTCCCCACAGCCCCAGAACCACACAGAAACTCAGTGTGTTGACCCCTAAATATGTGTTAGTGTGTCACAGTGTATCACAGCACACACAAACAGTCACTTCAATGTACATCCACAGGTAATGTACAGCCCAGCCCCCACAAGATATCCCACACAACTGAACTGCTGCTCACCAACCATTCAACACAACTTCTTTGTTAGGTTTAGAAAAAATATAATTGTTTGGCTTAAAATATGTACGTTAATTACATGAAAGCAGTTACGGACTTTAATTAAAATGAGGTCTTTTGTGAACTGATAAGAAATGTGTTTTTGATATATCATTGAAAATATGAAAAATAAGTTCCCTCATAACTAAGTTACAATGCAGTTCAAATCTATGGGAAGAATTTTTTTATTTTTTTGAAATCTCCCATTTACTTTTCATGCAAATGTTTTGTATAGCCCAACATATATATCAAAACATGTACTGTTATATATTTTTTCGAATTTGGGCGATCTAGTCCCAGATGTATAATCTAAAATAAAATAAAAAGATTTGACATTTTCAAGGCTCTTCAGTGAAACCAGGTCAGTGTTGGAAGACGGGCCCTTCACACTCCTTCCCTTATTCAGACTATTAAGAGTTAGACAGAAAAACAGTCACGACTTGTTAGAGCGGGTTCTAACTTGCCCTGCATTTTTATCTGATGACGAGAACTCAGAGAACAATCAGACTGTAACTCATTCTACCTGAAACACTGACAACAGTACATGGAGATCTTTCTCAACTCATTCTACTTTCACTCAGAGAGAAACCCTACACAATATTTCAGACAGATTTTCAAACAGACCCTGGATATGTTTGAGTTATCTTAACTAACCCTAACAAACGAGATCTCGCTAAGTGGTCCTACGACGCTGGTTATCAACTCAGTAAATCAACCAGGGTTTCACAAACATGGACAAGCGTACTGACAGCGCAGTGTCATACTTCATGATTGAATAGTAAACTATCATGTTAGACACATATGAAGACGTTCAACTTTTAACATCCATGACTTAACACTTTATCCAGGATAAAAGCCACATAGTTGCATGTGCAAGGTCAATACAGAACAGCTGGTAAAAAACTACCAAGTGTTTGAATGCGTTCATTAACAGTTTTATGATACACTGCCTGTCTACTCACAGACTCTCTTCAGGTCTACTCACAGACTCTCTTCAGGTGAGGAGGAAACTCTGCTCTCTCATCTCTTCTTCAGTCCTGAGTCTGCCTGCATCTGATCTGAGGACGCGCAAATACAGGTTTCTGACATTGTAATCAAGGTGACAGCATCAAGTGTTGAAATTCGTAAAGCAACATTTCACTCTCTTAACACTTTACTTGTGTAATATCTAGGGACGGGTATCGTTAAGGTTTTCTACGGTACTACTAGTCTTATCGATACTGCTTATCGATCCGGTGCTTTCACGGTATTCTTGTATTTACTTTTTGTTATTTTTTAAAGGGAAAAACTAACAAATTGTTAACCGAATTAATTGCTTTATTTAAATGTGAAATAAATGAAATACATATAATTATGTTAAAATATTGTACTGTACTTGAGTAAAATGTTGAGGTACTTGTACTTTACTGGAGTATTTCAATGTTTTGCTACTGTGTACTTCTACTCCACTACATGTATTTAATACCTCTAGTTACTTTACAGATGTGGATGAATGATGTGAAATATAATCAAGTGTTAAATCAGACTTTAGTTCCACCTGGAGTAAATTCACAAGCTACCCTGCAGTATACAAAGTCATTCAAACTAGCTGCACCTTTACCAGCTTTGAGAACACTTTCATGATCAATCATTATAAAACATATCATATATATTATTCTGAAATGGAACAATCTGCACAATGACTACTTTTACTGTCGCTACTTTAAATATATTTTGATGATCATACTTTGGCTTGAGGAACTCTTCCTACACTATGGTATTTGTTTACTTAGCTACAAGATCTGAGTACTTCTCCCACCTCTGCACACCTGATGTGATAACGTTACTCGTAATTGGGGCAACAGAGCTACGAGTTAAGGAAGTCGAAAATTGTGCATTTCTCCGACTGAATATGACGCCTTTTGGCCGGCTGTTTGGACAGACTACTCTACTCGTGTCAACGCACTAACGCAAAAACATGGCAAACGAGCTTTGTCCACATCGAGCCTTGTAGAGTGTCTCTATACTCTCTGAACGCTCTCCCCGGCAGATCTCTGTGTCCGCTGCAGCGTGTCTGTTAGGCCCCGCCCCCTGCACACAGAGAGACAGTGAGGCCCCGCCCCCCGCACACAGAGAGAGAGAGAGGCCCCGCCCCCCGCACACAGAGAGACACAGGGAGATCGTTCTTCTGGAGTGAAGAGAGCGGAAATAATGATATTGCAAGTTAGAAATGTAAGATGCATTTTGACAGACAAGACGGGCAATTGGGGGAAAATATGCTGCATTTTGAATGTCCGATAGTCCACCATTAACACCTTAGTCCCATCTCGTCTCGTCAACGAAAACTAAATATACATTTCGTCAAATTTTCGTTATCAAGAATCTATTTTTAGCTCGTCATCGTCTTGTCTTAGTCGTGTAAAAAAGGTCGTTGACGAACATTTTTCGTCATAGTTTTCGTTGACGAAATTAACACTGCGTCAGAGTCACGTGGAAACCGGCCTTACAGGATGTAGCTGTCAGCCTGCCAGACTCTCACTCACCTGCGTAGAGTATTAAGAGTTAGACAGAAAAACAGTCACGAGTTGTTAGAGCAGGTTCTGACACACCCTGCATTTTTCTCTGATGAAGAGAACTCAGATAACAATCAGACTGCAATTCATTCTACCTGAAACACTGACAACAGTACATGGAGATCTTTCGAAACTCATTCTGCTTTCACTCAGAGAGAAACCCTACACAATATTTCAGACAGATGTTTAGAATCAGCATCAAGAAACATGTGTCCTGTCCAGGTAAACATTGACTCTGTCCAGGTAAACAGTGACTCAGAAACAGATTCCTGTGGGAGGATTCTCACCTGCTGAACGCTCTTCAGGTCCACTCACAGACTCTCTTCAGGTCCACTCACAGACTCTCTTCAGGTCCACTCACAGAAACACTGCTCATCTCTTCCTCTTCAGTCCTGAGTCTGTCTGCATTTCCGTTATCTTTGCTTTTTACGCAACAGTTTAAACACCAACTGTCGCAAGGATGACTTCTGTGAAAGAGGAACTCTGTACTTCCCCTATTAGCTGCAGAGGAAATGAGGGGGGGGGGGGGTTTGAAGTGCCTCAGTAGTTTTCCACTCAGGGGTCACCTGCAGACAAAGAGAAACTTATATTATGAGAGAGTGATATCTGTCTTTGTCTTTAGCACATACTACTATTTATTATTGGGGCCCCAATGGCATTGACCGGTTCACGCAGTCTTCAAAGTAACCAAGCAACCTAAATTAATTTGTAATTTGTCTGTCCAATGACCTTGCTCCCTTTCATGCAGGGCCGGTCCTTAGCATTGGCGTTATAGATGTTCGCCTAGGGCGCCAGATCTGGGGGGCTCTGCGCTGGTAGCTCTGGGAGGGGGGAAAACATTTTTGACCGTTGGCGCTCATCCTAATTTTCGGCCTAGATGTAACAATATTCATAATTAAAGGGGACCTATCATGCAAAATGCACTTTTGTACGTCTTTTATACATGAATATGTGTCCCCGGTGTTCCAGGGAACTCACCAAGTGTCACAAAACACAACCCTCTCTATTTTCCTCCATACCCAAATCTCTAAAAAAGGGGCTGCAACGGATCTGATACAGACTGATCCAGATTAGAACACTTCTATGTCGTCACAGAAGTGGCGCTACGGCTATTGGGCCAACTCTCCACCTATCAGGGGAATGTGGGGTTGGGCCACGGCCGGCCATTGCCGCTCGAAAGCGCTGGAGACGCTGTA